CTCTCTCTCTCTCTCTCTCTCTAACTAAATATAATAAAATCATAAAACTCCTAAAATATCCAAAGTTTGAAACATTATAAGTCATATTCTGGAGTATTAGTTAAACATTTATTTTATGCCAAATATGAATACATATCACATACTTATTGTATTGAATATCAGATATTCAACACATCATTTAAATTCGTTAAATATGCTAAAAGCAAATGCTATTTATTGAACATAAAAACAACTTTCAAACACTTGTAAACAAATTGTTTTGACGTTTATATCATATAATAAGACTGTTTGCATTCAATTGATTTATTCAAACAAACATGATAAAGTCTAAATGTAATATACTTTTGAATATTACCGTATTTATAACATGTATTCATATATTTTACATCGATGTATAGATGTAATGTAAAATTAGTCTGATTATTGAGGCAGTTTAACAGTTTTACTCAATGTAATAGATATTAATAATTAAATTACAAATAATTTTACATATTTCCAATAAATTCTACAATACTTACAAGAATTACAATTGTTTCAATAAACAAAATAAATGTCATTTCAATTTAAAAGACATTAGAAAATAATATAATAATTAGTTGTGACACACATTTACACGAGAATTGATTCTTTCATAAGTAATGCCAGAATTGAGTTGTTTTGACGTTTGAGATCAATAATACAATAATAATAATATTAATAATAAAGTTAGTGGTCATGAAAACTACATTCAATATTTTCTTCACTCAATAAACAATATATTCTTAAGACTTTATATATGTTTATAAATAAATACTTGTATTTCTATTATAAAAGGAAAAAAGGAAAAGAAAGACAGCTTTTAATGTTTCGATTAAATGAAACAATTTATTATATTTTCTTTTAGCCTTCAATTTAACTCAAACTCAAAATTAAATATCTTTTGCATAATGTCTTGCATTGTATTCATATCACAGTAATATCTAAACAATTAATTATTTTTAATATCTGAGTTCATAATTGTTTAATAAAATGGTATATTCTTGCATGGTAAATGTTGTATTAGTATTTACATTATGGGTTGTAATAACATTTCAACATTAAGTTTTATAATAAAATGGGTTTATAATAATATATTTAATAATGATTCAAGTATTCCATAATTTTACTTAATTATTTAATAAAATTACATTTTTAGAGTATCATATATTTTAATTAACCTTGCTAATTTATTTAGTTTAATAATTTTTTAGTAAAACTGAATCTAAATCACTTATTGCAGTAAAAAGATTGTAGTATCACATTAAGTTTTATCAAGTTTGTGGCAAATAGTTTAAACAAATACTAGTATTATATAAATATTTTAAAATTTACACCCAATCTAGTGTTATGTATTAAAAATTATTATGCCACTAATTATTATAACGTTAACATTTACGGGTATTTTATTTAAAATGATCATACATTCACAATGATAAATTTTCAATGTTAAAAGTAAGTAAATTATTATCAAGTTTAATAATATTTATAGTAAAATGTATAATAAAAATAGATTTGAATTAACCGGAAACTTACCATGATTTAGTTTCTTATTAGTTGTGTCATTAATTCGGTTTTTATTTGGCATTATTTGTATGCAAACACACAATTGGTTTCAATAATGAAATAAAGGCACCAATAGTTGACACAATTGTCACAATATATTTAATGAAATATAATTATTTTACAAAACCAAACGCCGGCATAAAATCTATATAAAAGTTAAATCAAATTTAACATAAAATTAAAAATAACGACACAATGAGTGAAATAAAACATTATTTCATATAAATTACAGATTTGAGATATCGATGAAACAAGTTTTGGATACTTTTACAATAAGAAGAAAAATAAAAATTTCACTTTACTTTTGAAATGTTAAAACTGAGACTACGGTTGAATGAATTGCAAGCCTTTAATCGATTAACAAAGTAAGTGATTGTGAAAGTAGTTATTATTCACTCAGGTTTTGAGAAAAATTAATTTTTCAATTTAAATCGTTCATAATATAGCTGTCATTCAATTGCTGTTTGTTTAACACTAAAGTTGTTTAATTTTTTGTGCACAACAGGTCTGAAAGTATAGCATAATCATAATATACTATATTTGCTATATTCCCACTGAATATACACTATAATATTGCAAACTTTATTCCACACATCAATCGCCTTATTATACAATAATATAGTTTATATTTATATGAATTTTGTGCGCAAAATCATTAAATGTTTTACTAAACTTCATATTTAATGATTATAATATTTATTTAAAATACAACTGCATTTATTATAAGCGATGAGACACTCCTTTACTTCATAACCACATTTATTGATAACAAATATACAAATTCCTATTCAATATCTATTTAGTTGGTTTTGGGAAATATAATATTTCATAGATTAATATCACATTTAATTCAAAGTAATTGAGTCTCACATCTGTTTGCTATGAATTGAAACAAAAAAAGTCAAAAACACTTTTCTTTTTATTAAAAGAGTTTATAATTTAATTACTTTGGAAATATGAGGTATAATAGTGTATGAATACAGTGTACTATAATAAGTAGGGGTCACCTCAACTACACTAATATACGGGTTTGAGAGTTGGCATCACTTTTCAAAGTTATATAACTAATGTAAAAGTAAATAAAAATTAATTCATTGGTGAATAAAAATGTAAAATAAACGGAATATATTTTTTTGTTAAATATTTAATTGATTTTTATAAATGTAAAACTTTTAATAAATTATTAATAGATTTAATTAGTATTTTGGTTATCAATGCCCGAGAATATGAATGTTAGTAAAGAATTCATTGAGAATATCATAGTATGAATGGGTATTCTTTACAATAGACTTTTAATAAGTGTAACGTTGTTTGTGAACAAGCATTTAAAAAGTCACATAACATGTGATAAAAGCATTAAAACGTGTTTTTGTTTATTTGAAATGCAATTCAATATAAATTGTGATTAACAATGAATTCAATGCATAATAACAGTAATTATAAGCAATTATTAAGTGATATATCGGAAGAATTCAATACATTTAGTGAACAAAAGGATTCACTTTTAGAGTAAGTGTTTTTTGTGCACATATTTTGACAACAAATTTAAAACCAGAAAAATATATTTCATTTCAGATTTGATTCACAAAAATCTCAACAATTAATTGATTTAACGAAACGTTTGTTTGATTTAAACAAATGTTTGGTTAACCAAAAGGTCAGCCAAAAGAGGGGCGACTTTGCGGTCAAGACATCACTCAATGAGTTGTTTACAAATGGTTTCGATTGCGAACAGATTTGGGAACAAATCCAACTCCAGAACCGACCCGTTCTCGACCTCCTGGTCGCCAAAGTGGCCCGACTTTCGGCCGCAACCAATCCATTGACTATCAATCTTAAGACTGAGACTCAGAGCCAACAAGTGATTGAATCGGAACACAATGTGAGCCAAAATGACGACCAAAACAGTGATCTCTTCTCTGAAGAATCGAGTGATGAGTTGTCCGAAGAAGAAGGAGAAGAGGACGAGAAGGAGAAGAAAAAGAAGAAAATCACTTTTGTTGAGCCGAAGAAAGCGCTGCCGAAGTCTGTGGTCGACGACGTGTTCTTCAATTTGCATGAAATGCACGCTTTTTTAGACACCGAAGATCTCAAAGAAGAGAAGAAAATGTCCGCAAATGATAAACAAGAGGAAGAGGACAGCGATGGAGATAATGAAGACGACGACGATATCGACTATTTTAAGGGATCAGAGGATGAAGACGAGGAAGAAGTTGATTCCGATGGCAGAGACGCCATGTTTAATGACTTCTTTGATCCACCGATTGGTGAAAATGTTGAGAAAGTGAATCAATTAGGAAGTGATGGCGAATCTGATGAAGAAAGCGATGGAGACATTGATGCAGGCATTGATACCAGAGATGTTGACATAAATGATCTTAAATTGAATGAAAAAGACAGTAAAAACATAGACATCGCTCTGAATGATGGCAGCAGTGATAGTGACTCTGAAGACGAACCCTTTTATAAGAAGAATACCAAACAAACCAATGATTCAAACGATACCTCAAAGTCTGAATTTGAGAGAATCCAAGAATCACTTAACGAAAAGATCTCAAAACAAGAGAGACTTAATCTGATGAGCAAATCGTGGCAAATGAGAGGCGAAATCTCTTCAGAAAAGAGACCAGAGAATAGTCTACTCGAAGAACACCTGCACTTCGATCACACGTCAAGACCGGCGCCACTCATCACCGATGAGACGACATTTAAATTGGAAGACATTATTAAACAGAGAATTAAAGACAATTCATACGACGACTGCGTCCGCAAAGTGAAGCCCAAAGAGAAACCATTTGAATACCGAAGAAGACTAACCATGGAATCGGAAAAAAGTAAACAAAGTTTGGCTCAAATATACGAAAACGAGTACTTAAGACAACAGCAGACAGAGAAGGAGGACAACGAAAACACAGAACAGAAGAACATTAAGAAACAAATGCGAAATCTATTCATACAATTAGACTCGTTGTCGAGTTTCCATTTCACTCCCCGTCCCGTTCAGCCCGACATCAAAATCATTAACAATATGCCCGCCATTACTGTCGAAGAAGTGACGCCTTTGGCCACCAGTGAAGTGTCACTATTAGCGCCTCAAGAGGTGTTTAATGCCCAGAAACGAGAATTGCAAACAAAGTCTGAAAAGTCCGAAACCGATCGAAAGCGCGACCGAAGAGTCAAAAAGAGTATTCAAAGCAAAAAATTTAAATACAATGAAAGCAAAGGAAAGGCAACGATAAAGAAAACTAAAGATTTAAACCCCTCTTCAGATGTGAAACATTTGAGTTCTTCGAAAGCGTTTTTCGATAAATTACAGGAAAACGTAACGCAAAATATTAGTAAAAATAAATCACCGAAAAAGTTAAAGAAAATTACCAAACAATCCAATGAATTGAAACTTTAATAATTTTATTCATTGTAAATTTAATTATTTTAAATAAAATGATTTTTAGAAATATAATTAATGTTTGCGTCCTTTCTTTGATTTCCTTTGAGAGCCCACTTTAGCCCCCTTTCGAGCGGCGGTCACGAGATTATTGAAACGTCCGCTGAGTTTGGCTTTCTTACGCTTATTTAGTGTTTGTCTGTTGAGCGGTATATAAGCGAAGGGATCGGGTTTTCCCTTCCGTTTCATATCGCCTTTCGCTTTGTTAGACCGATATTCGCCTCCAAACTCTTTGTCCACCGCTCTGTGAATGCCTTTTCCTCCCGTTTTATAATTAGATTGTCTAGAATTAGATGTCTTTACACTTTGTTTGTTAGACACCATATCGTCATCGATGTCATCATTTTGGTCCATATCTTCGTCGTCCTCTTGTGCTCCCCTTTTGGTTCCCCTCTTATCCAAGTCTTGAATCACAAGCTTTCCGTCGGAACTGAATTCAAACGCGTCTTTCTTCTCTTTGGGCTTCAAATCGGGATTTTTATGCAAAATATTTTGACTCATTTTAGAGCTCAACAAATCGATGATTTCGTTTTCATTCGACTCGTCTTTCATCCATGACTTGACATCTTTTCGGGAAACACTTGTCATCTGATCGTCTTCTTCCGACTCCTCATCAGACGAATTGGCGATTATGTCCTCAAACTCTTTGCGACTTCTGTTCAATGAAAAGCATTTGTAAAAATATAATAAAGAATTTGCAATCAATACTAACGCTTTAGATGTGGTTATATTTGTCTGTCTATCACTTTCATTGTCTTCAGTAAACCTCTTCTTTCTTTCCTCAACTTTACGAATATTTTTCAACACTTTTCTGTATTCTTCGGGAATCATCTTTGAGATCATTAAATATCTAAAAATAATTAATTATTCATTAGTCCTATTGTTTAAACACTAATATAAGAAATATTCATTAATACCCGTATTTGCGAACCAATCGAATGAACATTTCCTTAATCTTAACCCTAAAGTGATTTTTATGTTTACGATTAATATTCGACAGATTACTGATCAACAGTTCCAGATATGTCGACAACTGATCCAAAGAAGCGGTTCTGAAAAAATATTTCACAAAATCCAAAGACGTCTGTATTATCTGTCGATTGTCTGAACTCGATTAATATTCGACAGATTACTGATCAACAGTTCCAGATATGTCGACAACTGATCCAAAGAAGCGGTTCTGAAAAAATATTTCACAAAATCCAAAGACGTCTGTATTATCTGTCGATTGTCTGAACCGAGACTTGTAATGATATTCTCAATCAAATCGGATTCAACGTGTTTATGGATTTCTTGGCGGAATTGTGAATACAATCGCGTCAGACATATGATGACCGCAGAAGAAGGACATTCTTTGCTTTTCATTAACGTTATCATAATTTCCATCAAATCGTTAACGTCTCCAGAATTCAGTATCTTATGAGCGTTTGCAATGCCAACGATCAAATCCATTGCCGCAGTTTTCACTTTATGAGAGTTAATCTGCAGACAATTCAATGATTTGGTAATCATTTCAATGTATATATCCCTCCATTCTATTGATTGGTTATTTTGATTCTCATTATTACTAATGATTTCTTTGAGTGCTTTCAATGGGTATGACTTGGAAGACGATAGGCATGTGGAGAGCGATCCAATCAATAAAGTCAACAATTCGTTCAAATTGTTTGACACAAATTTCTTGCATACAATGGAATCGCTTCGACAAATCTCTTCGAGTATACGAAAAGCTTTTTTCTGTTCTGTAATCAGTTTATTGTCTCCAACAAACACAACCACTAATTGACTGTATATTTGTTTCAAATTATTTTTACGGATATATGGAATAAAAGCGCGGATCAAATCCATTAATGATTGTCTCATAACTGGACTATTTTCAGAGTTTTGCAACTTTTCGATAATCTTTTCATAGAATGAAATCAATATAGAATTTTCGGAAACTGAGAAAAATATCTCAATTATTTCATAGATAGAAAAGAGTTGATTCTTAATTTCATCTAAATTTTCTTCATTTGTATAAACGTTAAACAAAATGGGAATAAAATTTTTAGAAAATCGACTCAATTCTGTCCGCAATGGTTGTCCAGAAGGCGAGTCAAAGCATTTCGATAAGTTCTTAAAAGCGGTCAAAACATATTTCCTAAGCGACGAATCGTGTGATATAATATCGCCTAATGTTTTGGCAATTCGTTTAAACGAATGGTCAAAATCTTTCGGTCGATTGCAAAACGACGGCAGAAGTGACCAAATTTGTGATAAGAGGATGGAACAGGTCTTCGCTGTGATCACATTGCCGTTTGATTCCAGTGTTTGGCACGTCTTCCGCAACACTGTTGCCATTGGAATAAAATAGTCGATAAAAAATGCCAAATCAGTCTCTTTTACATTGTCTCTGAGCACTGGAATGAGCCAATTGTGAGATACGTCAGTGTTTTCTTCGTTTAGATCCAATGGACATAAATTGATAATAAATTTAGGGCTGAAGACTTGAATGGCGCGACCGATAGTGCGGTCGATATTAGAGGCGTAAGCGTTATCATAACTCTCGCGAATTGTAATCAATTTGATAATAATTTTGGACATATATTGTGCAAAATTCTCATTCAAAAAGTGAGATATAAGTGCAAAGATGGGAATATAAGCGTTGAAGTATTCGTATTGCAACGCCTTTTCAATACTCGAATAGACTCTTTCGATAATCTGTTTGTCGATCTCAAGACTCGACGGTTCGATACAATGAGAGTATATTTGCTTCAAATTATTTGTAACATTCAAATGAACTTCTTTTGCGTCGGTTAGGAGACAAGCGATGAATGCGTTCATAAGTTTCGGCAAATGATTAAAACATAGCTTTTGGTCGATTCGATATAAGTTAAGAAAAGCCTGTTTTATGGCTTCAATCCACGCACACAACGGTTGACTGTCGTTAACGTTTGGCTGATAGTCATAGAGCGCTGATATTAGCCGTGCGTTCAGATCCGGTGTCAGAATCTCTTTGTGAGGATTCGCCGAAAACAATACATTAAATGCTTTAAAAGATTGCGAAACAACCAAAACGTTTCCAAAAGTCATTTGCGTTAGTATTGATTCGCAACACTTCTTGAGGCACGCGTTCGGCAGAACCGATAAGATATCTCAGTTATTTAAGTTCTGTATATCTCAGCTCAAATACAATAGTAACTAAGGCACTAGGAGATCAAAAGAATTTGTCTTTAGACGCCAGTCAAATCGCTAACCTACTGTCTTTCTCGAGAAGCTAACCGTTGTGTTTGTCTTAAGGATTCTCGCGATCGATCGTTGAGAGCACTTCCGGATTCGGCCCTTATTATGAACAGTAAGCGAAAGGATTATCTCAAAGATATGTTTGGTTGAACTCAGTTCCCAAACAGCGTTTTCTTGTTGTTGAAGAAGTGACGCCAAACTGTTGGTTATGGACTCTATGATCAAACAGTTGTCTCCTTTGATATATTTGGCCAAATAGTCGACTAAAACTTTGGACGTTTCGGAAAACTTCAGTCGAATCACATTCTGTGGCAATCGTTTGATAACCATTTGAATCAATGAGAGAATTGCTGTCAAAGTCTCTTCAATGTCCGCGGTTTCCAAACATGTCATTAAAGCCGCAAAATATTCGGTTTCCGTTTGCGATCCGCCATTCGATGTAATGGTTTCGGTAACGGCCGCCAAAACCGATAGCATCTGCTTATGAATGGCCGACGAAGAGTTAAATCCCGTCAACAGCTTATTGAAGCTAATGTTTGAACAGTTGGTCCAAACGCTGGCAAACGATTGGCCGCCAATCGACTCGGCGTCGGACGCCTTACCGGCCGAGAGGTTATCCAAACCTAGTTTCTGGAAATGAGTCAAATTGTGTTGATGTAAGACATCTTCGCTCAATGGCATCGATCGCTGCCATTGCGTGGTCTTCGGGGCCGAAGAGGCTGTGGTGTGGGATGTGTTGCGAGCGCCGACTCGATGCCGATTGGTGTGAGGGTTGCAACTACTGGACCCACCCTTTGACCACCGCTTGCCCTTACCTTTGGTCGCTTTCCCCGCGATTCGCATCACTTATTGCTAACCAATTGTTCACTCAATGAATACAAAACAAACAATTCATTGATTGCAACCAAAAACACATTTAAATGCCATTCAAAGCACGCATTCATGTGAAGCACATGTCTATCGCTTACGAGTCATTCAAATACAACGTTACTCTGGAATGACGTAACGAATGGTTGAATGCATTGAATGAGTGAATGAATGAAAGAGTTGTTTGTGTTGTGAAACAAATCGTCAAATGAAGTGAAATAACAAAACATTTAATTATTGAATCGCTTTTAATGCCAAACACTTGTAGTTGTGATTCAGTTGTGATTCAATTGTAAACGTGGTTTCAGATGAGGGAAAGCCGTCGACAGAGACAACACTTGTAGTGACTAATCTGTAAATGATGTCCAATCAGTCGTCTTCAGCCAATCAGCAAAACGTCACTCAATTGAACACTGAATCCGATGCCAAAGAGAGCCATAAATTCAATTTCATCTACACTTCAGACTTGGATGACGTCTTCTTTCGCATCAAATGGTAAGCCTTTGTCTAATCATCACTTGTGTATCACTTGTTTCTCTTCATCAGCGGTACGTTAGAGGGATTGGAGGCAAACAGTCATCTGAACGATCACTTAGTGTCTCCCCATCTGTACATCACATGCGATCTCTACTCCAATGGACAGCTCTTATGTCCGACACAACAAACCCCTTACAAACACATGACCACCAGATTTGAGTCCGTTTTGTATCTATTGTTTGACTCAAACATAACATTAATGTTGTTGTTTGCCATGAATTGACAGATGGAATGAATGGCTGTTATTTCCTCTCAAGCTGTCAGACATTCCTCGAGACACTCTCCTAAGTCTGGCAGTTGTCGACACTTCCAGTACAGCGAAGTCAGAGATATTGGGCGCCACCGCTATCACCGTATTTGGCAAACACGGCTCACTCAGGCGAGGCATGTATGACCTCAGGGTTTGGCCTAAAGCTAACTCCACTAATGATAATCACGACATCACTCACGGGAATAACGGGAAACACAACATATCGGATCAGATCAACCGAATTAACAAAGTATTGAACACTATTTTTTGCTTATTTTCACTATAATTATATTAATATCAAAATCTAATGTTTGAACCGTTATATTAGGCGAAGAAGAAGTTCAGGAATGGAGAAGTGGTGCGAATGGATTGGTTGGATAGACTCACGTTTCTTGAGATCGAGAAATTGGTTCAGACGGAGAAGAAGAAGACTAATTATATTTATTTGTCGATCGAGTTTCCTGTGGTGTCAGTCAATGGTATCGACCATTCAGTGGTGTATTTCGAAAGGGGAGCCGAAGAGAGCTGTCAGTATAGCTTTATTGAGAACGATTTGGTGATAATACCGGACCCGGAGATGTCGATGGAGAATCTGGTGGAAAGCAAACACCATAAACTGTCCCGAAGTGTCAGGAGTGGTATCAACGACAGAGATCTGAAGCCCAACTCAACGGTTAGGGACCAATTGAATGCCATTATGTGTTATCCGCCGACGAAAGTGCTGTCAAACGAAGAACAGGACTTATTGTGGAAATTCAGGTTCTATTTAGTGAATCAGAAGAAAGCGTTGACCAAATTCTTGAAGTCAGTGAACTGGCAGTTGACTAACGAAGCGCATCAGGCGATTGAAATGCTCGCAAACTGGCAGCCAATTGACATCGAAGACGCTCTGGAACTGTTGTCGCCTCAGTTCCAACACCAGGCCGTCAGACGCTATGCCGTAACCCGTCTGAGACACGCGCCCGACGAAGTGAGTGCCGTTTATACTAATTCACTAATAGTTGTCAATATATTGTCATTTTATTTTGCTTTTAGGAGTTGTTGTTATATTTGCTTCAATTAGTTCAGGCCCTGAAGTATGAAAATTTTCAAGACATTAGACACGCGTTTGAAAAGGAAAAGAGTGTGTCTAACGATGAGAAGACTTCTGATAGGGAGAGGTATTAGTTGTTTGATATTTATTATTAGTATTAGATATTTGGCTGTTTTATTGTTTTACTAATATTTTAATATATTTAATAGGAAGAGCAGCACAGCGTCAGCTGTTTTAAGCGAATCATTCAATGCTTTGAAAATTGATAATCAATTGAATGAAAACAACACTGAAAATGATTTGAATACTAAAGAGGTAATTGTAAAAGCGTTTTATGGAAATAAGTTTTACTGTAATTGAAATATTCAATTGAAAGGAGAATTTGTCGACATTCCTGATCTCGAGGGCGTGCGCTAACGACACATTAGCCAACTATTTCTTCTGGTATTTGATGGTTGAGTGCGAAAACGGACAGTTGGCTGACGTGACCAATACTATCAACGCTACGACTAATGCAAACACAACCAACAGTAACGAACCGATTAAAGTGAATGACATGTACTTAATAATGATGAGACGGTTTAGTTTACGGCTACTGAAAGGCAGCAGTGATATGAAGGCTCGCAGACAACTGCTCTCAAGACAGCAGACGTTTGTGGAGAAATTGGTTCAACTGATGAAAGTGGTCGCCCGTGAGAACGGCAACCGCAAGAAGAAGATAGAAAGGCTTCAGAACCTGCTGTCAGACGTCGAGACGTTTAAAATCAATTTCACGACCTTTGATCCGTTACCCCTACCCCTCGACCCCGACATCAAGATTACGGGTGTCGTCCCATCGAAGGCCACTTTGTTTAAGAGCGCTCTAATGCCCGGAAAGTTGGCTTTTATGGCCACAAATAATACCGAATATTTCATAATTTTTAAACACGGCGATGACCTCAGACAGGATCAGCTTATTCTTCAAATGATTACTTTAATGGATAAACTGTTGCGAAGAGAAAACCTAGACTTAAAGCTCACACCGTATAGAGTATTGGCCACCAGTAGTAAACACGGATTCGTTCAGTTTATTGACTCCATATCAGTGGCCGAAGCTCTGGCCGCCGAAGGGAGTATTCAAAACTATTTCCGAAAGCATTCGCCCTCTGATGCTATATATGGCATCTCTCCCGAAGTGATGGACTCATACGTTAAGTCATGCGGTAATTATTTTTATTATTCGTCGTTCACTTTAAGCATACATTTAGAAACTTATTTTTATTGTCTTTTAAAGCGGGTTATTGTGTGATAACATATTTGTTAGGCGTCGGAGACCGACATTTAGATAATCTATTGCTCACCAGAACCGGAAAGTTGTTTCACATAGACTTCGGGTTCATTCTGGGAAGAGATCCGAAGCCAATGCCGCCGCCAATGAAGTTGAGCCGCGAAATGGTGGACGCGATGGGCGGCACAAACTCCGAACACTACCAGTCGTTCCGAAAGCTGTGTTACACATCATTCTTGCATCTGAGACGACACGCGAACCTTATACTCAACTTATTCTCGCTTATGGTCGACGCCAGTGTTCCCGACATAGCCTTAGAACCGGACAAAACCGTGAAGAAAGTTCAGGACAAGTTCAGGCTAGACCTCAACGATGAGGAGGCCGTGCACTACATGCAGGCGCTCATCGATGTCAGCGTCAAAGCAGTCATTCCAGCGGTTGTCGAACAGATCCACAAAATGGCTCAAGTATTACATATTACCCTCTTTTCCATTATATTTTCTCTAATATTTCATTAATTTTGTTATAGTATTGGAGAAACTGATTATTGGATGCCTTATTATTAAGTGCCTTATATTGAATCCGTTACTCGAAATCAAGTCATACTATATTTGAAATTAATTACTTTTGTTAATGAATTTGAGTTGTTTTCATAATTTGTTTTATGATTTGTTTGATTTATTAGTATAAATGTTTGAATATATATTTGTTTAAATTATTTATGTTTGGGTCTACGCGACCAGTGGTCCAAAGTTTTTATTGTATACAACAAAACACTTTAATTTATTAATTACTATCTCTCTCTCTCTCTCTCTCTCTCTCTCTCAACAGATGGCTCTCAACGCAACCCTTTGTCTCGCTTTTCGCACAACCACTCCACACAACACAACACACTATAAGCCATAGGTTTTGAACACAAATCAAGTGATGTTTTGAGTCAACACTTGGTCTCACTTTTCAGCCATTAATCTACAGATCAGTCAATAAATTGAGAGACATTTTACGGACAACTCTTTCATACCATTAGCCCATTGCTTCCAACACAAGACATTGTCACACAATTGGATCCAATTATCAAATCTGTGGTAAGTTTTGCAAAATTTTTTAAAAACACGTGTTTTTCATTTGTTATGAAATTTATGGCTAGAAATGACACCAAAACTGTCGGAACCGTTACCACCGGATGTGATCACTCAAGACATGCCTATCATTCATATAATACACGAGGAATACAAAGACAAGTATTGCGATAATTGTGTCCAACGATCGGATCAATTGAAGAGATGTGCGAAATGTCTTCACATGTATTACTGCAGTAAAAAGTGTCAGAGAATGACTGGAAGTATCACAAGAATCGCCGCAACTGTGGCCGAGACGTGTGCGTCGGGCTGTCGTCGCCCCTACAGTGGCCGAGTCGTGTGGGTCGGGCTGTCAGCGCCGCAACTGTGGCCGAGACGTGTGCGTCGGGCTGTCGTCGCCCCTACAGTGGCCGAGTTGTGTGCGTCAGGCAGTCAACAGGTATTTGATTAACAATTGACTGTTTATTTAATTTTAATTGTTTTTATCTCACATTTTAGCCACAACTCGCCGCCAACTGCTGCACAACTCGTGCGCTGGCAATCATCGCCGCCGATCTATGGCTCAAATAAATGGCCGCCAGTCATCGCCGCTATCAATACAAAATAATTGCATCATTATTTCGGTTTGACACAAACACAAAATATTTTGTACATATTATTATACATTATATACCCCCTGTTTCACACATTTCTTTTCACTTTTCACTTTTCACTTTTCACTTTACTTACTTTACTTTACTTATGATAGGAGCGCAGCGAGCAATAATAATAATAATATTAATAAGTAATAATATTAATAAATAATAATATTAATAAGTAATAATATTAATAATAACGTAACTAATATAATACTAAATAATCAACATTGATAAATATAATAATAATAATAAATGGTATAACTGTATAATTGCCGCAACGAGAACACGTCTTCGTTCGTCACGCTAGAAACAGATTAATGTCTGGCCAAGTTCTCGGTAAAGTTGTACTCATGGCGTGATGCCGGCAAAAATTGATAAGTGTTTTTGCAGCCAAACGGGGTGCTCACGCTCCGTGCGGTCTTGTCCTCGAGTGAGTGCGTCATGGGCGGTTCACCAGGCCCATCGCGTATCAATGCGAACTGGACGATCATTTGTAAATAATTTAAGAGGTGGCGGTTTTAAGAAACAGCACTTTGTGTGGACTGAAAAGACGGAGGCTATTCTTATGGAATGTGCCGATTCTGTAAAAAGTGTAAATAATGGAAAGTTGCCAATGAAGGATTTAACGGATAATTTTATAAAATCACTTATTGATAAACAAATTATATTTTATAAATCATCTATTACAGAAAATTCAATTAAAAGAAAATTATGTTCATTACAAAATCCATCAGAAAATAAAGAACGCGTAACTCTCAAGTGGACAGAAGACAATAAAAGGACTTTGATATGTTGTGGAGTGGAAGCTGAACTCCTCCATGACCGCAATAAATCTATTCCTAAGGGAACACTTCTTTATGATATGTTTATAATTAAAGTTCCGGAATATAAAGCAAGTGTTGAAAATCTTCTGCAACAATTTAATAGATTTAAAGACAAAATGCTGAGCGAAGAGTTAGATGAGATATTTAAGGACATCGACAACAGACTTACAGTTGAAGACATCGATAAACAAAACAAAACAAAATATAATATTCCCGATGACGTGAGACAATTGCGCAAATGGCGAGACATCGGATTAGAATTAGGACGACAGCCACTGTTTAAGGCAATGTGCGCTAACTGCGGACAACTTCTTTTCGGTGACGGCAAAGTGAATGGTCGCTGGACAACAGTGCGAGTCGAAGCCAATGAAACTCCGCCAGTGTGCGCAAGATACGAACATTTAAACAAAAACATTCCATATAACAAATCAGAAAATGAATGGTATCTTTGCAAAATCTGCAAACGAGATCCGAAAGGAGTGTTGGAAATGTTTAATGTGCTTAACCCGGAAACAAACACTATGACACTGCCGCCAGAGTTGTCAGAACTCAAAGGTTGGCTTGAACTATCATCGGTTGCGCTAATGGGTACATATCATACAATTGCGAATAAACCAAACCCAAAAGGCCGACGATTTCAACATCAAATTGGAGAGACTGATATGATGTCTAAAAAAGACAAAGCATATTTCACTCTCTTCACATTAATGCAACAAAAACTAAGTCAAACTTCTGATGATAATGACGAAAGTTCTAATAAAAAAGGTAAGAGAAAACACAGGGTGAAACGAGCCCTTCAATGGCTAAAACAATGGAATCCGTTGTATCAGACGTTTTACTCAAACTATGAAACACTTTTGCCGTACATTGAAAAGAATAAAAATCCGTTTCTTTTAGCAAATGTTTCAAATCCCAAAACAACAGACGGTTCGCAATTAAATGAGAATATGGGAGACGAACAAGTGGGAACGTGGATCGCTGCCGAAAACTATACTGGCGATCACGACCCCGATGACGAAGAAGACTTTGCGGTCGGTGTTACACACCCGAAAAATATCAACACAAAAGAACAAAGTGAACGAGAAATTCGTAATCTGACTCGACCAGGTCTTAATAATACAAATCTCGAAGCCCTGGCGTATCCGCGCGAATATCCATCTGGTAAAGGATCGTTCAATCCCAAAGGACAACACAAACACCGCGAATATTGCAAATGTTGCCTCTTGAATTATGAACCGCGTTGGCGACAAAACGAATTCTTCATACACTTTCAACTCAATCGATATGTTAAAGATTCGCTCAAAGCATACAAAAGAATTGTAATCGCAAATGTTAAAACTGCTGTAGAGAAACCGACTGCAGGTGAATTGAAGAAGGGACAGAATATGTATGACAAGTACGGAGAAAGAGTGCCGGCAAATATTCCCGGTTCTCAAAGTTACTGGTGGGCGGCATTACAAGAACTCCACGCAATAAGTGTTGCTATGGGACGTGAACCGGACTATTTTGCAACAGTAACTACTAATGATAATTGGCCAGAAATACAGTTTGTGTTGAGACATGGACCCGGTGGTGAACCGTGTGACATGTGTCCGCACGACGATGAATATGGCGAACCGGCAATACACAACGCAACTGAATGTTCTATCGCATTTCATCAACGGTGGATGACTTATAAGAAAAACAATCTCGACAAAGAAGGAGAATTGGGAAAAGTTGTGCGATATTGGTATCGGCGCGAATATCAGTGGCGAGGCGGCGGTCATATTCACTGTGCTATATGGGTTGATCCAAACACCAAAAAAGAACACGTTGTGACAGCGGAAATACCACGCGGTGGGACAGACAAAGAAATACAGAAAGAACTGGAAATGCTTGTGAAACGACATCAGATTCACACGTGTAGAGCAGACAAGTGCTTTGTAATCGGGAGAAAGAAGAAAAAATTAATAAATTGTCGTTTCGGATTTCCGTATCGATTCTGTGCAGAAACAATGCAATCGGAAGACAGCCTTCGAAAATTATATCGGCGAAGATGTCACGAAGATCGGAGAGTTGTGCCTTACAGTTACGGACTGTTATTAACAATGCGGGCACACGTTAATATTCAAGAAGTGCATGGATCCGGTTGGGAGATGTATTTGGCTAAATATATGACAAAACCAGAACCAACTAAGAGAGTGCGATGGGGAAACAAAGTCTCGAAAGAAGCATCAGATGTCGAAAGATTCTTGAAAATGAGACTCATTGGATCGGTTGAGGCTAATGATCATATGCTTCAGTTTCCCGCAAAAAGTTCAAATATAGAAGTTATATATCTCCCGATTGAATTGCCGGGCGATATCGAAAGACTGGTGCTCCGACGCAACAAAGATTTGCCATCAGATCCAAACTCAGAAGACGTATATTATTTCTCGAAAATTGACAAATATCTCGATCGACCAATAAATCTAAGACATTTAACATATCCCGAATATTTCAAAGATTACACATTAAAATCATCACAAAAATTTGCAAATGTGGGTAAAGACGATGACTGCTCGGATATTGAAGAAAGTGAAGAACTCGAAAATGACGAGAACAAATTAATAGATCTCAAACAAAGAACAGTTGTAAAGCGTAAACACTCTGCAGTCATTCGATATCCTTTTCTCCTGCCGTATGGCAAAGACCAAGAGAAATATTATTTGAAAATAATTTTGCAAAAAATTCCTATTGATAGAAATAGTCTCCATACATTGATATCTGAACAAAACACTGAAGGCACATATATGAATGAGTGTTTGTTAAGAAATCTCTGGGATCACGAATCAGCACTAGAATTTCTTGCAAATGCAGCGACTATGCCTTTCAGCAAAGAGAAATTAATGAAAATTGCCGGAGAAATGATGAACAACAATTACATTTCTGCTTTAGATTTAGAACAATTCGTAGGAACACTAGAAATTCGAGACCCGAATCTAAGAGATTTCACTGATGAACACGAAATCGAAGATGATAATAAAGATATTGAAGTGAATTACCCGATTCAACAGATTGATTTTAAACCACTTCAGTATTTCATCAAATCATTTAACGAAGAACAGAGCCAGATATTTGAAACGATACGCGAGGCATTCGATGAAGGCAAACAGATGTGTGCTTGTATTGTTGGCCCGGCAGGCACTGGTAAGAGTCATCTGTTGAAAGGATTGTGCGCATTGATCAGAGAACTTGACATTGGTGCGTTTCAAATATTGGCACCTACAGGTTCAGCCGCTCACCTGGTGAAAGGCCAGACAATTCACTCGTATTTTAAAATTGATTTGAAAAACAACTCTCACTTGAAAATAAACACAATTGAAGGCGAAATGCTAAAAATGTGCAAAGTGTTATTTATTGATGAAATGTCTATGATAACAAGTGTAGTGTTTGAAGAATTGGAAAAAACCTGCAGACAAATGAACAAATTTAAAACATCGGGAAAAATTAAGCCGTTTGGTGGAAAACACATTATTCTATTCGGAGATCCGGCACAACTTCCCACTCGATATCATGATCACATATATTGTATGAAAATATTCCAACACTTTAAAATATTTGCATTAAAAGAGATTGTTCGTCAGGACAACAAAGAATTTGCTCAAATGTTACGAGAAGTTCGGTTAGCTAATGTGACGAAAGAAGTGATCGCATATTTCAAACAAAGAATGGTTAAAGACTATGATATTAATGAAATAATTGCGAAAAATCTTCACATAATTGTGTCTCTTCGCAAAAAAAGAGATGATCTCAATAATGAAATATTAGAAGCGTTGTCTGGTGATTGCAAAGAATACATAGCTCACGACACTAATGGCCACCACAAAACAATCGAATGTGAGTTGGAAAAAATGCACATCGAAAGTATTTCAGAAAAGTTACCAACTGTTCTGCAATTAAAAGTTGGAGCTGTGGTTATTCTTCGGCGCAACTTAAACACCGCTGCGGGGCATGTGAACGGAAGGGTTGCAAAGGTTAAAGTAATGGGTGAACGATATGTTATCATCACAACACTCGATGAACCGATAGAAGATATACCAATAACGCCTATTAAAGAATATCTCGAATTTTGTGGACAAGAAAAAAG